GGAAGAAATAAAGCAGAGTGCCCAGCACAGATTACAGCAACTCCACTTTGAAGTTCACTGATTTGTTTTCACTCCTGAGGACATCAGCCTGAAGTACGTTCTTGTTAGGATCCTCATCTGAAATTCACCAAACAGGCCTTCAGAAGAAAGGAAAGTCAGGAATTGAAGGGAGTAAGAAACTGCTGTTTCCTTATGGCTGGCATCTTTATTTATTTCCCCTAAAATATATTCTGACTTTGATTTTTTTAGGGAGTTTTTCTTTTTTTCCTCCATTTTTTTAAAGAATACCGATACCAAACTGTTTCACTGCGCTCTCTCAGAGACTGCCCTGGGTTTTGGTTGCTGTGCCTCCACATGCTTACCTCTTACCTCAGGCAGCTTTTTTGAAGCACTGAAACCTGCAAATAAGGAGATCAGGGCAGGGGATGCTGTGGTGTGGGGATCAGGCCATGGAAGGGCAGCAGCCGGGAGGAACTGCAGGGAGGAACACAGTGGGGGTAAGAGAGGCTCCGCAGTGATTTCTCCTGGCATCAGCTGTATCGATTCAACAAGTGCCACGGAGAGACATATTTTCTGTAAAGAACTCAGGTACTTAAGCATAGAAATGCGTCCCTACTTTCCCAAACTCTTGGAGCAGAGAACAAGCCACAATTCCCAAAACTTCACCACGCTTCACTGTTCTCTTCAGTCCTATTGCTCTTTTGCAAGGCAAGACAAACAGTGCACCCTCCTGATTGAATGTCATGCACTTTTTAGCCCTTAAAAATCTGCGTTTGACAAGTGGGAGTTTTAGATTATGAGTCTAAAAAAGAATACAGAGAAGACACTCCAGAGGTGAACAGTACCCTCTGGATGTGCTGCCTGACGCCTTCACTGTGCCAACACAGCTTTGTAGAAAGAGGAAGGCACAACCATGACCAGCACAAAGCAGAAGCTGCATCTTCCAAACTTTCTGTGATCTTGGAGACCTGGCTTAGCTCACAGCTTGGGCAGAGGGCAGGGACAGTTGGTTAGCAGCCAGATAGGGAAAAGGAAAAAGGAGTGAGCTTGGGGACTCAGTACACCCACAGACAGCACCTTTCTCACTCTACTTCTCAGTAGAGTGCTCAGGTACAAATGCTAGGAGACAGTGGAGGCAGCAGAAGCAGGAGGGGTGTGAGTGCATTTTGCCCCATCTCCCCTTGATTTATAGAAAGAAAGCAGAAAGGCTGGTGTGCCACCACAGGGATCACCAATTTTACATAAAAACTGACATGGAGCATAATTTTGTGCTCACTTGCAATTATGATGTAAATACAATTTGACCCTTTCAGCAAAAAATATAGTTTTAGTATATGTTTTGTTAGTCACACTTGTTCAGAAAAAAGAGTTTGGTTCCAAAAACCACTGTTTTCTGCAAGTTCCAGTCAAATGGTGGAAAGTAAATGGCTTTGTTTTGTGGAACTGAAGTGATCTTGGCTCCTGTGAAAAAAATGCATCAGAGCTGTGTGCACTGGCCATCTCTGATGTGTATCTGGAAAAGAAAACACCATTTCCAGATGAGTAGAAGAAAACAGAACTATGCTCACATCCCAGATGTGTTCACAGGATTCCCCAGAGGAATCTGTGAGTGTCAGAATAACACTGACAGCAGGTGACAGAAACTGCTGAACTGGAGTGTTGCCATTTGCATCCCTTGACACAATCCAGTGTCTCAGGTTTTCTGTAGGCTGAGCAGATATATCTAGCAAAGTCAAGGGGAAAAAAAAAAAAAAAAAGCTTTTCAGTGGCATTGTGCTTGCTTTCTGCATTGTTCCTTGAGCGAGGGGATGAAATTCTGGCCAAAACCAAAGCTGGGGCTGCTGCACTGTGCTCTTCCCCTGGGCATGTGGAGCTAACTCCTGTAATTCTGGATGGAGAAAACTCACAGAAGAGACAACTGAATCTCACTCGGGGAGATGCAGAAAGGAAGCTGATCTACTGCTGTTTCTGCCAGTCACATCCTTCCCAGTTGTTTTTGCTTGCTTTTCCTGGTGCAAAATCCTATGAACACACAGAAGGGAGAACACATGGAGCCAGGCAAATGCTCCTGGCTGCTGCAAGCAGTTCAGCACGTGAACAAAACGGACTGAATGCAAATCCCACAGTTTTAGAAGGAACAGAAGTTTTTGTTGGGAAAAAATCTTTAGAAAGCTGAGGTGTGGAAACAATACCAAAGCTTCAATTTGGAGTACCTGTAGCAAAAGAAAATATATTTCTTGTGAGAATAATCTACAAAAGTGGCAGGATCCGGGATGGAGGAGGGATTGGCACTGCCCACAGAAGAAGAAAATTAAATTAGGGACCACTCAAGAAATTTAGAGATGCATAAGCTCATATAATCATCCAAGGAGGCTGAAAGAGATGAGTAACATTAACTCACTCTAACCTCTTTGAAAAGTCATTATGTTCAATGCTGATTCTGATGCTGAAGAAAAGGTGAATATTTGCTGCTAAATACTCACAAGAAGGTCCTTGTTGCGTGCCTACTATATAGAGCCTATTCCCTTTCAGCTGCATAATGGTTTTCCTAGAGTGAGGCCCAAAAGATCTAAACTGTGTACAGCAAGTGGTTTGGTCTGAGTCAGTGACATAACCCAGCTAGCAACAGCCCAAGTGCAGAGAAACACAGGGCCTTCTGTCCAGCCTGTTGCTTGTACTTGGTTCTAGTTTTCTCCATCTCTTCTGTTCATCTCTTTGGCTCTTCCACCTCTTGTCCCCTTAATGTTGTCACTTTTGCACAGTTAGTACTTTTGCCACTGTTCAAAATAGGGAAAAAAAAACAGGCAAAACCCAATTTGAAAAATGCTAAAAAATTATCAAATAAACTATTATGCTGTCTTCATTTTGTGAGCTGCTGAAAATCTTGGTGTGGGAGCTTAGAGCTCTAGGTTCTCAAAGTAAAATAGGCTGAGATGGATTTTCCTTACTCTTATGAGGCATTGTTTGCTTCTGCTGTATTTTATATTGTTATTTAGAAGTGTTTGTCACTGGTCTCAAATAGGTAAGACATCACACAGGTTTATAGCTGCTAAGAAAATTGTTCCCAGCACTGGTTAGTACATCTTCCTTCTGTTCTTAGTTCTAAATCAAATGTGGGCTCAGAAGGGAATTTTTCTGCTGGGTTGAACTGTTGAGAACCAATTGGGATGTTCCTGGACTTCCACAGAAGAAGTTGCACTTCCATCTACCAAGCTCCCTGTGTGGGGGCCCCAGAGCAGTGCTGCCCACTGTGGAGATCCCAGCTGTGCTCCTGAGGCTGTAGGCAGCCATGCCTGGATCCTGCCTGACTGAATCAGCTCTCTGTTTCCAGGTGTGCTTCCAGCTGGGGTGATTCCCCATGCTCACAGCCCTGCCAGAAACATGTGGGCATCCTGGCTATGGTGTCTGCTGCTCTGTGTTACTCTGCCAGCACTGGTGGCATTTTGTCTTCTAAGGGGAAGATTTAAATTAGTGGAAATTAGGACAAATCTTTGGTAATTCAATTTTCTTTCAATCAGACTTCATTTCTTACACAGCAAGCCAGTGACACCACGTGCACTTTCCACATTCACAGCCCATAACTGATCCTTCTGGAATGTATCAGAAACCGAAGAGTCCAGCAGCAGAGAGCAAATAACCTTTTCCTCATGCAGCTTGTAAATTCACAGCAGGGTGCAGGGTGCACCCATTTTGCAGGCATGACTTCTACTCTTGACACATCATGCTACAGGAATGGAGAAGACTGGTGACAGAGGTCACCCCCTCTGCAGACCCTCTAGTAGAGGTATCTTCCTCCTCTTTTCTGGGGGATGTAACCCAAGCTGAAGGGGAGCCACCAAACAGAACATCAGAGCTCAGAAAGGGAACAGGACTGCTGGGAACATGCAGGGCAAGCAGAGGCAAAAGGAAGGTGGCTAGCAGCTGGCACAGAGGTAGGGCTGCCTCCACAATGGCCCTGCAAGAGGTTGGAGCTTGTTGCATCCAATTCATGATGCCTGAGCTAACAAGCTCCTTGGCCAGCCCCTGGGACTGGAGGGCTGTGTCCAGTCCTCAACCCAGCTGGTGTCCAGGGTGAGTTTGGACTGTGCCAGATGCGTGCAGATCTCCCATAGAGATTTCCACACACATGCTCAGTGCTGTCCTGGGCAGAAGAAAGCCAATATTGGTGAAGATGAGGGTCTCTTAGGTGGATCCCAAGGACAAATATTGTCACTACACCAGCCATCACTGCTGACCAGCTTGCTGGTGGAGATGTATGGCAGTGATAACTTGTTCTGCACAACAGCAGCTCTGCAAAAGCCTGGACAGAGCCTGTGTAAGAGACAGGAACGCTCCCAGGCATGCTCCCATTTCATAATGCTGGACACACTGAGTGAGGAAGGCAGATAAAATGACAGCAGCTGTTTGGGATGCATAGAAAGAGAGAGGGAGAAGTGTGATCTGGGTCTGGGATAGCACTGTAATATAACAGTGAAATATGAATCACTAGATGAAATGGAGGGACAAAGTTTCTGGCAGATGCTTCCCCCTCTGCTTGCCACAGAGTTAGTTCATTATTTATACTGGGAGGTTTTATGTTTAATTAAACAGCAACTACAACCAGAGGCACGCTGCCTCCTGAGCACGCACAGCCAGCAGTAGCCTGGGTCGTGTCTCTCTAGCAGAGATGCTGCAAGGAGTAACTAGCCCAGAATGGCACCAGGCTGACTGGAACTGCTGTCAGCACAACAGACACTCTTAGCCCTAAGGTAATGAAAACTGGGGAGTATGGATAATTTTCTGGGCAATATGACGCTATTAAAAGGTGATGCTAATAGAAGCTTTAACAGTGCACTAAACTAAGGAGACACACTTCTGCAGGGACTGTACCTTTAGAAGACAATTCCTGTATTGTAGATGAGCAAAATTGAGATGACCAAACAACAGTTGTTCCAATTTTGCTGGCTGTGGAAACTTCTGATGCATCTATTGTGACGCAACTGTCAGGCTGAATGAGTGACCCCACCTGGGCCCAGGAGCCGTGCTGTGGGCAATGCCACTGCTCTGTGCACCTGGATGGGCAGGCAGCTCTGTCAGACCCAAGCCAGAAAGGGTCGGTCACTTCAGTGTCCCAGCCATGAGATCTGTCACATTGAAAACAAGGTGACACGTGCAAGCTGCCTGTGGGGCTGGTTGCTTTCACAAGGAGACGCTTCTTGTCGGTGAGCTCCAGCTGGGTGTTACTGCTGAAGACTTCCTGAAAGGCTGCTAATAGGATCTGAGCTGGCTGCTGCTGAGGGACACGTGGCTGACCCTTCCTAAAGGCAATATGGGTGAGTGAGGTGCCTGAAATAGATGCAGCAGTTCTTCCTGATAAAAATGCTTATTTGTATGTAAAAAGCAGTACGAGCATTGACATTTATGATGCGTGAGCATATCTGACTGCTCAGAAAAGAGGAAGGATCAATATTTAGGAAGAATATACATAGAGCATTTGAAGTATTAGGGGCACAGTGGAAATACAGAAAAAGCTCCAAGTCTGCATGTCTGCATGGAGTTAAGGGTTACAGTGCAGGAAAAGCTCAGTAAAAGTCACAGATGTAAGGAACTGTGCAGAAAATCAAAATACTAAAGAAAAGAGGGAGAAAATGTCATTCCTTCAGCTTTATTTAACTTTCAGTCTGAAACTCAAGGGTTTGCTACATCCATAATTCAAAACTTGTGAGGATTGTTAGGAAAGTTTTTCTCTGCTCCTTGAGCAGGAAACATGATGCCAGTAACTTACAAATAAGCCTGTAAGACTGCTTCATGATTCCCAGCCTGCCTCGCATCAACACAGTTTGTCCAAGCTCTCTAAAGAGCACTGGCTATTTTGAAAGATATTCTTCATTTTGTATATCACTCAAAGGAATTTTTAGACAAATACTTTAAAGTGGCAGTAGAGGATGGATGCTCAGAAAAAAATCTTTGGACATGCATTTCCTATTCACTTTTGTCCAATTTGATCATCTTTATTTTTTTCCAATATCCACAAGGGTTATTTTTCCTATGTTTGCACAAGACACATCTATAGTATTAATGGCAACCAGTATTTGACCTGAGCTTTCTGAATGATGAGTAGAAGAAGAGTAATTTGCCATACCAGGAGCATTACTTGGATCCTTTATACATATTCCAAACTGACCTAATCAATTCCCATTTCATTTCCATGACTATATTATTATTATGAATTATATTTATTTGGTTCTGTTATATCATACAAACTTTGCAGGTAACCAATGATAATACCAATTTCTGTCAGATTCTGTCTGTATGCTCCATGAGGCCGGTTAACATTTCTTATACTTTGTCCCACCCATATAGTTTCTACATTTCCTTACTGATATTCCTCTATGTTCTGGTATGATATTACAGTAAGAAATACAAAATTAATCTCAGTTTTTGCCACATGGACTTCTAAAAAGGGCTCTGATAGCTGGTCTCTCACTTTGCGGCATTGATTGATTTGTCTAAACTTACTCAGTAGCAGAATTCAGTGGCAAAAGCACCGTATCTGTGATGTTAAAACCATAAAGCAATTTATTTTCCTGTGTTTATGAAATAGAAGATAATTGTGTCCCTTGAAGCTCATTTTATCACTGAAAATCTACTTCTTCTGTAAACTCATATGTCAAACAAGTGCTCTGAAAATATTCTAATTACATCTTTGCGAGTGGATTTGAAATAAATATGCAAACAAACATTAAATGTGATTTGAAAAATAGAACAGAACATGAGCCACATTCTCTGCTGACATAAATCCCTGTGCTCTTTCTGTTCCATTACTTCACAGCGTGTTCTGACCTGTGGTTTCCAGACTATTCTGTCAACACATAAATGTATTCAGAGACTTTATTGCCACTCAGTTTGTGCAAATATGTCTAATATTGGACATATATTATCCTTTATCACCTGTTCAGCACTTTCTCAGTCAGCTCTCTGTTGCTTTCTCTTCTGCTCCTGGTGTTTGGGAGGAGCTCCTGAAGAACATATCTGGAGAACCTTATCCTTTTTTTTTTTTTTTTTTCCGTATAAATCCTCCTTGATTAGGAGTTTTCTGTCATAGTGAAAGCCATACAACATTAGTACTGCCTGTGCAGTGGTACTAATGTCTTCCATGCTGATTAGAGCTGCCCACTGCCTTTATATACTCGTTCTGTGTGTTGTCTTGAGTCTTACGTTTTGGTCCTGGTTTTGGCGAACCAGGACTGAAACTGAAATGTATATCTTCTTCAGTTTTTATGCTTAGAAGCTCCTAAAGTGCAACTTCTGAATGCAACGGTGATATGAATAATGTGTATCATGAACAGGCTAAGAGGACAAAGTTGCTCCAGCCACTGTACAGAATATTCACAAATATGAATGAACTTAGAGCATGATGGTTGCTTTAGCAACAGAGTACTAAGAAAGAGCTATCAACACGTTAAAGATATTTCCTCTTGTATCTTAATAATATTGTGTGAACTGCTACACCTACAGAGAACTGTGCTTCTCAATTGCCCATTTCTTTGTAATGTTAGAATTTGCTCTTTTTGTTTCCAATGTGCTCTTCATCATGAAATGTATCCATTTACATAAGCACTTTTCCAACTCCAAAGGCAGTTGAACTATTTCAAATGTTGTTACGACTGACAACTTGTTTTGAAAGACAATTTTCAATAGTCAGTGCATAATGTAATTGCCTTATTTTGGGACACTCGGTGTTTTGTTTCAGATCTGGATTGTGCATATATTATATATATTATTTTCAAGTACACGTACGTTAAAAATAATTCATTTATGCCTCAAAGACCTTTCTAAAGCATCTATTTGGGGATGTTGCTTTTTATCTCTGAGTTGTCCATATCTGCATGACCCTAAACTTCATTTCTTCTAAAATCCTCTGAACAAGAAATATATATATATGTATAACAAATAAGCCAAACATAAGAGAAAGAAAATATCACCATAGTGATGTAGTGGCTGTACTTAAACAGCCATTATGTTTGAATGATGCAATACTGGTCAAATCCTGGAGAGAATAAAATTAAAAGTGAATACTGCCAATACTTCCTTGTGCCTACAATTCATTTTATCTGAGCAGATAAGAAAATCGATCTTGGCAGAAACACCCAAAGATCAAAGGTTCCTCAATTCATAGGCAGACATTACGTGACTGAAAAATGTATTCCAAGCTTTTGCCTGATAATGCTACCTCTGCTGTCCTTAAGCTAAATGGAAATGTGGGAGATGGGCACCATTTTTAAGACTAACACTATTACAAGAATATATATTATTTTTGTTCTTAATGCTCTTAATGAAAAAAGTTCACCATCTCTCACTGGCAAAAACTGTTAAGACATAATCAGAGAAATACATATCCAGTAGTCTCCTTTTTCAGTGTATATGAGACATACAGTCTGGAAAAGGTGCTTTGCTTCTTTAACATTCCCAGGCAAAGGACATTTATTTTCCCCCAAAAGAATATTTTAAAAAAAAGAGAAGAAAAGAAAAAGACTGTTTTTTTCAGTCATTCTTCTTTTTTCATTCTTCAGTAAGGCCATTCTACAGCACCTTTGGTTGGACAAATTGTAATACATCCTCTGATAAAAAGAATCTGAGCGATTAGACCATTTTCAGAAAAAAAATAGTACAAAAGAACCTGTCAAGATATAGACAAATTAATAAAAAAATAAACATCTTAATTGTCATTTCACACTGAAACACTGGTATCACTTTGAACACATATATTATGTTTGATTTCATTAATTTTAACATGAAACTTAACCCTAAGGTTGATAGTTCATCTAGTATATTATTATCCTGTTTGTTAATCAAGCACAAGCAATGTGAGATTTCATGGCTCTGATCAACAGAGCTTTAAACTAGGTTTTATGGAGGAAGGCGACGTACTGCTGAGTGACAGAGAGGAGCTGGGAATACTGTCACTGTAGAAAGCAGGGGAGGAAAACCTCAGATTTGTCCCAGCAGAATTTGGGAGTGCTCCTTCAGGAATGTAATGAGCTGATAGCCCAGCTGGAGTGCTTCTATAGCAGTGCATGCAGCATGGGAAATAAGCAGGAGGAGAAGGAAACTGTAATGCAATTAGAAGCTATGATCTAATTGCTATCACAGAAACACGGTGGGATGAATTGCACAGCTGGAACACTACTATGGAGAGCTACAAAATTTTAGAAGGGAGAGGCAAGGCAGGAGGGCTGGGGGAGTTGCCCACTATGTTAAGAAGTGCCTCTTCTCATCCATAATCAGGCTGAAAGCTTGTGGGTTAAAACTAATGACCAGATCAATAAAGCACATCTGGTGGCTGGGGTATGATCCGGGCTGTCTGATCAAAGGGAGCCCGCTGATGAGGCTTTCTTGCTTCAGCTGCAAGAGGTGTTGCTCTCTCAAGCTCTCATACAGATGGAGGATGTCAACCACCCTGTTGTCTGCTGGGAAAACAACATGGCAAGTTGCAGTCAACCCAGGAGAGTCTTACAGTCCGCTGAGGATAAATTCCTGGTCCAGGTATTGAACAGACCAAAGAGAGGTGAAGCACTGCAGGACCTGATGCTGCTCAGTGAAGATGTCATTAAGGAGACTGGAGGAAGTCTGTGAGGCCTCACCTGAAGTACTGCGAACACATCTGGGGCCCACAGCAAAAGAAGGATGTGGAGCTGTTGGAAAGAGTCCAAAAGAGGGCCACAAAGTGATGAAGAAAGGCTGAGTGAGCTGGAATTATTCCTCCTGGAGAGGAGAGGACCCCTATTGCATGGCTGGATTTCCAGAAGGCAATACTCCATATGAGAAGCCATTCCCAGGTCTGCCTGGGACCCTGTCATTTCTACCCTTCTCTCAGTAGAAACACAGAGCCTGAGGTATCTGCATGATTCTTCTTTGTTTATTGCCACAGACAGTGTTGCTAGCTTTGGTTTATTTGACAGAGACAGGCTGGGTTGTGAAACTATTGGGCACCAGTAAGTACAATCTGCAGAAATGTAACAAAACTTTGTAGTTGTAGCCTGGAAGTAAAAACACTCCTTCTGCTTTTGAAGGTTCAGGACATCAAAAACACAGCAGTTCCAGTGGGTGTAATGAAACACCTCAGGGGATTATCCGTATGACTTGACACCTAGAGGAAACACTGGATAATTGCCACCTACAATTTTGAAAAGATGGATGACTAACAAACTCAACTGCCAGTCAAGGAGACAGTTTTGTGGGATGGATGATTCATAAGAGAACAGCATCACTTTTTCTGTTTTTCACTTTTCTTTTTTTTTTGCCAACCAATGAAGGTGGCAAACACAGGCAA